TCTTTCTTTCTTTCTTTCTTTCTTTCTTTCTTTCTTTCTTTCTTTCTCTCTCTCTCTCTCTCTCTCTCTCTCTCTCTCTCTCTCTCTCTTTCTTTCTTTCTTTCTTTCTTTTTTTCTTTATAGTACACTAAATCCAGTTAAATGTTACCCATATGTAAACAGTTATAGTGCCATTCAGTGGAGCTTGGATAATTTACAAGGGGCCAAACATTTGAAGAGGATTGACTCTGTCTCTTATAGCAGCCACCAACTGTCCATAGCTCCTCAGTTAGGTGTGTAGCCTCAGCAGTTCTTTCACCATCCATGCTGGAAGGTTGACTGGCTTTTATCTTGTGTAGTCTGATACAATCAACCCTACCTCCCATGTGTTCGTGCGTGCAATAGCTCTGTCATATCTAGAAGACAATAGTTTGCCATATTCTTTGCTAACTTCTGCCTCCTTCTCCCCTTTCTTTTGCCATAAGCATTTCCCCTTTCTCCTCTAAGCACTGCAGGAGAGGTTGTGATGTAGGTGACCCATTTCAGGATGAATATTCCATAATCATCTGTTCTCTGGATTTTGATCAGTTGTATCAGTATTAAGTACAGTCCATTGCTAAAAAAAAAAAAAAAAACCTTTTCTGATGAAGGCTGAGAGCTTTAGTATTCTGTTCAGAAGGCAGTTTAATGCTGTGTCTATTTAATAAAATTACTGTAATAGGGCATGTGACCACCCCTGCTATAGTTTCTTGGCCAGGTTTACAGTACCAGGCATGAATAGTCTCATGTGGAATGGCCTTAACTTCAAGAAGAAATCTACTGATTACCCCTGTAACTATTGCATAAGTGGGCACATCTTGCTAGGCCAACCATTAGTCTAACTCCAAGGATTTACAGCTGGATCAGACTGTTGCTGACAACCCCTTTGCTTAGCAGCATGTATAGCAAGTTCTGGTACAAGGAAATCTGGCCAGCAGAGGGGAGCTTACAGGTCAGTACCAAGCTAAATACTTCCTGTTCTATGATCAAAGTATGTGATGCTTTCAGTAACAGGGTCTTACCATCAAGTTCTGGTGGTAACCCAGATAATGACAATGATAGCCTAGATACTAATTCTACATGTGAATCTGAGGCAGCAGGGAAGAGGCAGGGAGACACTGGCCTGGCTCGAGCACCTGAAACCTCAAAGCCCTTCCTCCATGATATACTTCACACCTATTCCAACAAGGCCACACCTCCTAATAGTGCCACTTTCTATGGGTGTATGGGGGCAATTTTTATTCAACCACCACATAGTATTGGACTTTTTGATGGACAATATATAGCTTCTGGGAAGAGTATTTTCTTCTTGTGTAGAGTAATTCTCTCTCTCTCTCTCTCTCTCTCTCTCTCTCTCTCTCTCTCTCTCTCTTGCTTCTGACAGATATTCCACAGTAAACACAAATTCAAGTATTTAAAAGTAGGATCTTCACATGAGAGAGAACACAAAACATTTGTCTTTCTTGGCCTAGGTTACCTTAGTATAATTATTTTTTTCCTGTCCCACTCACTTACCTGCCAATTTCATCTTGTTATAGCTGAGTGAGATTCCATTGTGACTATGTGCTGCGTTTTCTCTATGCACTCATCAGCTGAGGACCATTTAGGTTGTTTCCAACTCCTGTGTATCGTGAATAGAGAAGCAACAACCACAAATGAGCAAGCTGTCTTTACAGTAAGACATAGAGTCCTTTCGGTATATACCCTGGAGCAGTATGGCTGGATTAGGTGGCAGATTTATTTTTGGTATTTTAAAGAGCCTCCATATTGATTTCTATGATGACTATGCTAATGTGTTCCCCAAGAACAGTGAAAAGGGGTTCTACTTCCCCCTTCCCCCACACCCATTTTTTGTCATTTGTTTTCCTAAATGAGCCATTTGTCTGGGGTTAGATGAAATCTCAAAGTAGTTGTTTTTAGCCATTTATATTTCTCGCTGTCTCTCTGTCTCTCTCTGTCTCTCTCTCTGTCTCTGTCTCTTTCTCTCCCTCCTCTATGTTCACATATAAAGCCCACTTTTTAATTATTTTTGATGCTTTAATTTTTCTTTATATTTTCTAGCTATTAATGCTCTATTAGATTACTGCTTTATTAGCTGGTGAAGGGTTTTCTCTCATTCTGGGCTTTCTTATTGCTGGACTGACTTTTTCTTCTATTGCACAGAAGACTTACTTTCATGAAGCCTCGTTCTTTGATTATTGATATCTACAATAAGAACTATTCTATCAGGGATATATTTTAATGTTGATTCTTCACTTATAAGCTCTCTACTTGATATGCCTTTAAAAGGTAAATTATCTTTAGAGGTTCAAATTTTATTAGTATTATAAGACACATCCATTTTTTATAAGGCATTATATCTTAATGGTACCATTGTTGAACATTCCAAGAATAAACATGTCAGTGTTGACAAATATGAAGGAAAACAGACACTCTGTTACTTTGCTGGTGGGAGCTGATACTCAGGGCAGCAATTTGGGAAAAATCTGAAAATTACTAGATCACCAATTTTGTTTTGAGAAACTTGTTCTAAAGAAAAGGATATATAGGCCCCTGCCTGATCCTCTGGGCTGGAGCAGACACAGAGTCGGTCTGCTCCCGTCCTGTTGAGAAACTGAATCCTGAGTCATCCAGGAGCCACTGCACTCAGAGCAGCTGGTAAGAACTCCATCTCACTCCCTAAACCCCAGAGATAGATCGGGGAGCCAGGGACATCCAGGGCACAGCAGCTACCCAAACCCCGCCCCTCCGGAATTCCACTTCCCTTCTGCCCCTGCCTGGTCCTCTGGGCTGGAGCAGACACAGAGTTGGTCTGCTCCTGTCCTGTGGAGAAACTGAATCCTGAGTCATCCAGGAGCCACTGCACTCAGAGCAGCTGACACAGAGTCGGTCTGCTCCTGTCCTGTTGAGAAACTGAATCCTGAGTCATCCAGGAGCCACTGCACTCAGAGCATCTGGAGCCACTGCACTCAGAGCAGCTGAAACTGAATCCTGAGTCATCGAGGACCCACTGCACTCAGAGCAGAAGGATTTCCAGATCCAAGAGGTGGCCTGAGTCCCAGGAGTTATTCCACCCAGGAGATTAGGAGCATAAGACCACAGAGACCTCTGGACTCTGAGGAGCTCTGCAATAAGCAAGATAACTGGAAATACAGACTCCAGTTTTACACAGTGAGGGCAGGTACCACTAGAGTTAACCAGATGGCGAAAGGCTAGCGCAAGAACATAAGCAACGGAAACCAAAGTTTCTTGGCATCATCAGTGCCCAATTCTCCCAATATAGCAAGCCCTGAACACCCCATCACACCTGAAAAGCAGGATTCAGAATTAAAATCACTTCTCATGATGATGATAGAGGATTATAAGAAGGAATTAAGTAACTCCCTTAAAGAAATACAGGAGAGTACAAGTAAACAGATAGAAGCCCTTAAAGAGGAATCACAGAAATCCCTTAAAGAAATGGAAGAAAACACAAAGAAGGAATTAAACAAAAACATTCAGGACCTGAAACTAGAAATAGAAACAATAAAGAAAGTTCAAAGGGAGACAACCATGGAGATAGAAAACCTAAGAAAGAGATCAGGAGTCACAGACGCAAGCATCACCAACCGAATACAAGAGATAGAAGAGAGAATCTCAAATGCAGAAGATACGGTGGAAAATATTGACACAGTTGTCAAAGAAAATGCAAAATGCAAAAAACTCCTAACTCAAAACATCCAGGAAATCCAGGACACAATGAGAAGACCAAACCTAAGGATAATAGGTATAGATGAGAATGAAGATTCCCAACTTAAAGGGCCAGTAAATATCTTCAACAAAATTATTGAGGAAAACTTCCCTAACCTAAAGAACAGGATGCCCATAAACATACAAGAAGCCTACAGAACACCAAATAGACTAGACCAGAAAAGAAATACCTCCCGTCACATAATAATCAAAACATCAGATGCACAAAACAAAGAAAAAATACTAAAAGCAGTAAGGGAAAAAGGTCAAGTAACATATAAAGGCAGACCTATAAGAATTACACCAGACTTCTCACCAGAGACTATAAAAGCCAGAAGAGCCTGGACTGACATCATACAGACACTAAGAGAACACAATTGCCAGCCCAGATTACTATACCCAGCAAAACTCTCAATCACTATAGATGGTGAAACCAAGATATTCCATGACAAAACCAAATTTGCACAATATCTTCCCACAAACCCAGCACTTCAAAGGATAATTGATGGAAAATGCCAACACAAGGAGGGAAACTACAACCTAGGAAAAGCAAGTAAGTAATCTTCCAACAACCCCCAAAAAAGATACAAACATAACTTTACCTCTAATAACAAAAATAACAGGAAGCAACAATCATTTTTCCTTAATATCTCTTAACATCAATGGTCTCAATTCCCCAATAAAAAGACGCAGACTATCAGACTGGATACACAAACAAGACCCAGAATTTTGCTGCATACAAGAAACGCACCTCAGTGACAAAGACAGACACTACCTCAGAATAAAAGGGTGGAAAACAATTTTTCAAGCCAATGGTCCCAAGACACAAGCTGGAGTAGCCATTCTAATATCAAATAAAATCGACTTTCATCCAAAATTAATCAAAAAAGATAAGGAAGGACACTTCATACTCATCAAAGGAAAAATCTACCAAGGTGAACTCTCAATTCTGAACATCTATGCTCCAAATGCAAGGGCACCTACATACATAAAAGAAACTTTACTAAAGCTCAAAACACACATTACACCTCACACAATAATAGTGGGGGATTTCAACACCCCACTGTCAGCAATGGACAGATCATGGAAACAGAAACTAAACAGAGACACTTTGAAATTAACAGAAGTTATGAACCAAATGGACTTAACAGACATCTATAGAACATTTCATCCTAAAACAAAAGAATATACCTTTTTCTCAGCACCTCATGGTACCTTCTCCAAAATAGACCATATAATTGGTCACAAAACAAGCCTCTACAGATACAAAAAGATTGAAATAATCCCTTGCCTCTTATCAGATCACCATGGAATAAGACTGGTCTTTAATAATGACAAAACCAATGGAAAACCCATGTGCACATGGAAACTGAACAACTCTCTACTCAATGATGACTTGGTCAAGGAAGAAATAAAGAAAGAAATAAAAGACTTTTTAGAATTCAATGAAAATGAGGACACATCATACCAAAACTTGTGGGACTCCATGAAGGCAGTGCTAAGAGGAAAACTCATAGCTCTAAGTGCCTACAAAAAGAAACTGGAAAGAGCACACACTAACAAGTTGACTGCACAACTAAAAGCCCTAGAACAAAAAGAAGCAAATACACCCAGGAGGAGTAGAAGGCAGGAAATAATCAAACTCAGGGCTGAAATCAACCAAATAGAAACAGAAAGAACAATACAAAATATCAATAAAACCAGGAGTTGGTTCTTTGAGAAAATCAACAAGATAGATAAACCCTTAGCCAGATTAACAAGAGGGCACAGAGACAGTATCCAAATTAATAAAATCAGAACTGAAAAGGGAGACATAACAACAGAAACTGAAGAAATTCAAAAAATCATCAGATCCTACTACAAAGGCCTATACTCAACAAAACTGGAAAACCTGGATGAAATGGACAATTTCCTAGACAGATACCAGGTAC